AAATATTCGTTAGTTCAATAGAAGTGTTAACATTAGTATCGTTTTTATTATATTTTTATTATAACACTGATTATATATTTGGATGCAACAAGATGTATTTTTGCAACAATTTGAAAAGCATTTATTATATATCTTATAAAGTATATAACTAAAAATACTGGCAATTACAATATAAGTAAGCGTTGAATAATAATGCCCGTATTTAAGAATATGAGGCTGATTCTCGGCTTGATGAATTTGATTCTTTAAATTATATAGTAATTGGGTTTAGGACATTAGAACTGTGGTTTTAAAATTGTGTTTGCAACAATTATCTTCAATTATGTTAAAATCGATTGATATTTGGCTAGGCAGCACAGCCTTATAATTATTCGATGGGTGAAATTGCAATGTTTGGTAATATGCAACGCATTCATTTTTTAAAGATAATTTTCCAGTGCCGTGTACGTTATAATCCGAAATCTTATTATCATTTGTACATTTAACAGTCAATTTATTTGGTTTAGACTGAACATAAATAAATCGTCCATCACTAAGTTTTTGCCATAAATTAATATTACCATATATTATTTTCGAATCGCATATTTCTCGAAGTGACATAATTACTTCAGTCAAGAGTCGAGTTTCACAGGTTGGATTATTAATTGTGGACAAAACAGAAGGTGACAAACATATCATAAAGTTATTGTTAACGTTTTTACACTCACTTAAGCTATCAAACAATGCGTAATTTAATCTATCATCCGTAAGGGCTACATACAGCTTAGAAGGGTGAATGAGAATATAAGTTTGTAAATTATACTTATCATACTGTGTAGGCAATGGTAAACTCTTATAAACACTAAACTTAATAGGGTTAATTAAAGGATTTCTTATAACAAATACTATCTTATTATTATAGTAATACGAAGTTAATTCGGCTAAATCAATAATTGTATGTATATTCTCTAATGATAAGGAAGTGGGGAATTTCACATTAATTTTGCTCATTTTGCTATTAGAGAGCTCTTTAAATAACTTAGTGGGAGTCAAGACATACGGATGGAGGATGTTTGATTTTGCAAATAAAATAAAGTTTAAAATTGTATCTAGTATGTTTGAAACCGATAGCAGTGAACCTTCAATCACATTAAAAATAGAATTTATTTTAGCTGAACTAATTAAGTCTGTAGTAATTTTAGAACTTTCAGAAAATATGTAATTTAATTTTTCTATTTGTTTGTTTAATCTAATTTCGTTATTACTTAGTTGACGAATAGAAACATTAAATTTATTGATGGTTGATTGAACAATGTGTATGTTGTCTTTCATTAGCGAATATATCTCGTTTTCATTATGCTGACAAGTAGAAATAGCTTCATCGTATTTTCTGGCGTCATCAGCATCTAATATACCGAAGAAAAACTTAAGAATTTGACCGCCAAATTCAAGAGATCTTTAAAAACGATTAATAGGGTTTTCGGAAATAATATGTGATAACGAGTGATATTTAAGATAATTAGCGTTAATTAAAATTTCTAACGGGTTTATAATATCTTTGCAATCTATAGTAATAATCACGGACGTAACACACGCCTAAAGTCACAAAACACACAACAACACACAAGTCAAAAAACAATAAAGGCATCATAGTACCTTTTTGAAGATTCCTTGCTTTTATTTATATTTTCTAAAGCTTTTTCGCGGGAGTATTTCATTCTGTATTGTAGAGCGCGAATGTACTCGTGATAGGTTGTATTTTCATCAGATTTGTATATGCTACTAGGGATAAACGGCTTATGTCCGTACAATATTTCAAAAGGAGTAAATTCGGTAGTACAATGTGGAATGGTATTGTAAGATAAATTGCAGTAGCAAGATAACAGTGCCAATCGTCATGGTTCTCATTTACAAATGATTTTAAATATTCTTTAAGGGTAGCGTGACTACGTTCAAATGCGCCATTTGTTTGGGGGTGGTATGGACTCGAGAATATATTTTTTATTTTAAGAATGCTAGTCAATTGCTTAAATAACTCTGAAGTAAAGCATGAACCTTGATCAGTTTGAATCATTTTAGGAAACCCAAATAATGAAATGAAGTGAATGACATTACGCGCGACTTCATCAGTTGTCGAAGTAATTATTGGATAGGCGCAAGAAAATTTGGTTAAGTCATCCTGGTGCGTTAGTATGTATTTAAATTTTTGAAGACCCGCTTCAGGTAGGACACCGACAATATCTAGCGCTAATCTTTCAAACGGCTTGGTGCTTGAGGACGTTATGACCATGGGTGCCTTATTACAAGTGCGCAACGGCTTATTAATTTGACATAGAGTACAATCTTTAACGAAGCGTTCTATGTCTGCACGCATATTTTTCCAGTAAAACAAAGATTTAATTTTACTATACATGCGTTTTATACCTGGGTGACCAGCTACGGTAGTCCCGTGGTTTTCTTTTAAAATGGTTGGAATCTCGGCTGGAGAAGGGTATTGTATTCGATTCTTGTATATGTGAACCTTAATATTTGTTCCATGGAAAATATAAGATATTATATTGTAAATTTTTAAGTATACTAATTTTGTAAATTTTCGAAAGTCTTGCTATCTCAGTATCATAATTATCTTTTGAAATAATTATGTCCCTAAACTTACGTAATAAATTATAAATTGTCTTATAACTTGTCGCGTCATAATAATGAACTTTAATGTAAAGAAAGTAAAATGTTTTATTGTCAGAGTCGATCGAGTGTACGGTTTCAGGTTCGCGTTCCGTTGATAACAACTCGGCAGTATTATTTATCATTGACAATAGCTGTTCACAGTTCGGCATAGAGCAATCAAAGTCCAGAGAGACTAGACAAGCAATTATTTTTTGTTTTGCAGTATATAAACTTTGATTGTGCTCTTCAATTTGTATATCATTAGAAAATGTTTTTGTAAATTGTTTCTTAAAAAATTGTTCATATGTAGTCTTATTTAATTAAGAATGCGTGATAGCGTTTACTGGATTACGAGATAAAGCATCCGCGTTTTAATTATTTCTACCTGGCTTGTAAACGATTTCATAATCGTATTCCTCTAATTTTAATCGCCATCTGAGCAAACGTCCACCTGGATCTTTGGCTTTGAATAGCCATGTAAGAGGGCGATGATCTGTGACAATCTTAAATTTATACCCAAAAAGATACGGCCGAAAAGTACTAATACCGAAGAGTATTGCTAATAATTCCTTTTCTGTAGTCGAATAGTTTCCTTCTTTTTTATTTAAGGTACGAGATGCATAGGCGATAGGTTTATCTTTACCAATATCGCCCTGAGACATAACTGAGCCAATAGCGTAATTAGAAGCGTCGGTAGTTACGATAAAAGTTTGAGAGAAGTCAGGACATTGCAATAAAGGAGCTGTAACCAACTTTTGTTTAAGTTGATTGAAAGCATGTTCTTGCTCATAAAACCAGTGAAAGGTTGTGTCTTTCTTAAGTAAGGAAGTAAGAGGTTTTGTGATATGAGAAAAGTTTTCTATGAAACGACAATAGTAACCTGTTAATCCAAGAAATGACTTTACATCTTTAGGAGTCTTAGGTGAGGGAAACTGAGTAATAGCCTTTACCTTATTAGGGTTAGACGAAACACCTTGATCTGTAATTACGTGCCCAAGATAAGCGACTTTTCGCCGCAAGAACTCACATTTGTCAGGTTGTAATTTAAAATTAGCATCTGTGAATTTACAAAAGATTAGTTCAAGTTTTTTTCACGTGCGAGTCAAGATCATGAGAGTATACAATACAGTCATCTAAATATATATGCATATATAGCAATGAAGACCTTGTAGTCCAGAAAAAACAGAATTCATCAGTCTTTGGAAGGTTGATGGGGCGTTTTTGAAGCCAAAAGTTATACGTGTGAATTCAAAATGCCCAGAAACAGCATTAGTGGTAACACTGAAGCCCGTTTTTTCAGTATATTTAGGATCTAAGCAAATTTGATGAAATCCAGAGGATATGTCTAGTGTACTAAAATATTTGGAATGACATAATTGATCGAGAATATCCGTAATGAGGGGAAGAGGATAAACTTCAGAAACAGTGACATCATTTAATCGGCGATAGTCAATAACAATTCGCCACTTTTGCTTACCAGAAGCATCTAATTTTTTTTTTGACAACCCAAATTGGGGCATTCCAAGGCGAAGTGGAGGGTCTGATAATATTTTGGTCAAGCATTTTCTTAATTTGCTTCTCGACTTCATCTTTATGTATCTCGGGAAACCGGTATGACTTTACATGTCGCACACCCAGATCAAAACTGAGTCAACTCGAACAACTCGAATTTGGAGTTATCTTTATACTCGAATGCTGGGTGAACCCATGAAACTATCCAACATAACAGGTACAAGAAAGCCTTGAAGGAAAAGTCGCTAGATGCCGACAGCTTTCTTTTGTTGAATCGACGCATGTTACCCTCTCCCACCTAAACAAGTGTATTGTCAGTTGACCTTCGCTAGTCTTAGAGAGTACATGTATTAACCTGAACGAAAACACGGATATTTCGTTTTATTACAGTTTTGATGAAAAGAGTACGTGAGTCAATTTGAGTTGTTACAGTTTTGGTGAATAGTTCTGGTACATTACTTAGAGATATTTCGACTTGTTCCAGTTTAGTTTGACCAGGTACGTAATTATTTTGTAACTATTTTGAGTTGACTTTGCTTAGATGAATCAACATGTTAATTTCTAGTTAACCCACTATTGTTGAAACAAATTTATTTTCATGTTTTTTATACTAAACCTGTCATTTTACATGTTTTACTTGAAAAATCTTGTATGATTTTATACTGACCGTTTAAAAGTATACTGTTTTTAATCAATCTATGTGCCACGTTGTTTTAAAAGGTTTTGTTTGAGTTAACTTACTTTTAGTGGCTATGTATAAAAGAATTACAATAAACTTTTTTATTTCAGAAAATAATGAAACGAGGCCATATTCTATACAAAGATATCAAGAGAACCTATTAACAATGAATGAACAAAAGTCGGCAAAGTTTATAAATGAAGAAGCTCAAAATAATAAAGAAAATAGGTCAATTAACACTGCCTTGCTAACAAAACCATGTATTAACGAACAAAATGAAAAAAATCTTGACATACAAAGTGATAAGAGTCTAATAGATGACTCTAATACTGCAGATTGTGTTCGACAAAAAAGGCAAAAAACTGACGCCTAACGCAATTCCAAATTTAAAAAGGTATGAAGAAAACTCACTAAAACTCAATGAAGGAGAGACGGCCACATCTTCGAACTTTGAACAACAGAAGAGCAGAGCACACGCCAATAGATACTGCCTTATTGACCAAACCATGCAAATATGCAGCAAATTGAAAATGATTTTTACATGTCGTGAAGTGATCAAAGTCTCATAGATGATTCTGATACTGATCCGAGCTATGTCCGTTAAAAAAAGAAGAAACTGCGGAAGTAATTCTTAATTCATCTTTGTCTTCTTCAAGTAATACTAGCTCATCTAGCACTTCAAATTCTAGTACTAGTTCTAACAGTAGTTCTGATTCTGAAAATGAAACCAGGGATATTATCGATGCTGTTACACAGAATCAAAATCAAGATATTGTTAACGAAGGTCGCAATGGTCATCCCAGTAAAAATAACAATGATCAGCCCGATGAAGATCGCAATGGACAGCCTAATAAAGATTGCAATGATCAGCCCAACGAAGATTGCAATAACCAGCCTAATGAAGAAGCAAAAAAAGGAAAGAAGAGGCTAAGAAGAGAATCGACATGGAAAGTAAATATTTGTAAAATTCTGAGGAATTCTGGTTAGGCCTATCAGTCTTTATCAAAAACAAAGAAACTTGTTCGTGAAAGGAAGGTTCGCACGACTTGCGGCGAAAAATGCAGATTACGTTGTAATTTGAAGAAAATCAGAGTATGTAAGGCTTTTTTTAAGGGTATATTAGATTTAAGTAACACGGCTATTAATACTGCACTCACAAAAAAATTCTTCAGGTTTTGTGGCCAATGATTTTAGAGGGAAACACGGAAAGCAACCCAAAATTGATACTGAAATTAAAGTCAGTGTTACGGAGTTCATAAATAGTATCCCAAGGATTGAGTCTCATTACCTGAGAGCGCAAACATCACGGAAGTTTATTTGCAGTGACAAATCTCTTGCTGACTTATATGATTATAAAGAAGCTCGTGAAAACAAACAGTTACCTTTCGCCACAAAGTCAACATTTAACAGGATATTTAATAATAATAATAATAATAATAAAGACTACAGAAAGGTATTCGACTCGGTGCCCCATACATGGCTAAAGAGAGTCCTCGAATTGTACAAGATAGACTGTACAGTTAGAGACTTCCTCGAGCAGTGTATGGGGCAGTGGAGTACGATCCTTTGTCATCTGGGCGAGCGGATGATGGCTGCGGAGAACCACATAAGGATAAGAAGGGGTATCTTCCAGGGCGATTGTCTGAGTCCAATATGGTTCTGCCTCTCTCTGAACCCTCTCAGTACCTTACTGGAGGGCTCCGGGAGGGGATTTCAGCTACGGAAAGGAGGGACAAAAGTGACCCACCTTTTCTATATGGATGACCTCAAGTTATTCGCCTCCAGTCGCTCCCATCTTATGGAACTGCTAAACATCACTTGTGAATTTAGCAATTCCATTGGAATGGAGCTGGGGACGGATAAGTGTGCGGTCCTCCATGTTGAGAGGGGTAGGGTTGCTAACTCTGAGGGCATAGACTTATCTATGCCCGTCAACTTAAGGACCCTTTCCGAGGCTGAAACATACCGATACCTGGGTATGTCACAGAACATTGGTATCGATGAGGCTGGTATGAAACAGTCAGTTTGCGACGTGTTTTATGCACGCTTGACCAAAGTGCTTAACAGCCTTTTGTCCGGTGTGAATAAGACACAAGCATATAACGGCTGGGTCATGCCTGTCCTCATGTATACCTTTGGCATACTCAGGTGGACTCAGACTGAACTTAACGCCCTGGATAGAAAAGTCCGCACTACCATGACGTCCCACAGGATGCATCATCCGAGATCGTCGGTAATGAGACTGTACTTGCCGCGAAAGCATGGTGGGCGTGGCTTCTTGAGCGCGCTCACCATGCATAATCGCGAAGTGTGCAGCCTCCGTAATTACTTCCTGGCGAGATCGGATGATCCATTCTATAAGGACGTCATTTCTTGTGATAAAGGACTTACCCCTCTATCCTTAGCCAACGAGCAATGGCAAGACCCGGCAGTGCAGACAATTTCCGACAGGGAGACCGTATGGAAGGAGAAGGAGCTCCACGGGAGGTTCTACAAGTCTCTACACGGGCCTTTCGTAGACACAGTAACCTCTCTCCACTGGCTACGCTTTGGTGACCTCTTCGAGGAAACCGAGGGTTTTGTCTGTGCAATACACCATCGACATCTGTCGAGCTTGTCGCCATCCCGGTGAGTCACTTAGGCATGTCATCTCCGGTTGTTCGGCGCTTTCTAACTCTGAGTACTTGCACAGGCACAACCTAGTAGCCAGAATTCTACACCAGGAGCTCGCTCTGAAATACGGTTTCATGGATCGGAAGTTGCCGTATTACAAGTACTTGCCGGAAGCCGTGCTCGAAAATGATCGCGCCAGGCTCTATTGGGACCGGGTCATCATCACAGACAGGACTATTCTTGCGAATAAGCCTGATATTGTGCTGATGGACCGGGCACAGTCAAGGATATTTTTGGTCGACATTACCATTCCGTGTGACGAGAACCTGGCTCACGAGGTGACCGACATGTGGGGTGGTCTGCCGACCGAAATTATTCCTGTAGTCGTCTCTGCAAACGGGCTAATCCCAGTCAGCCTCTCGGGTCATCTGAGGCGGCTGGGACTACGTGGCGGACCGCTCGAGGCTCAAATGCAGAAGGCGGTGCTCCTCGATACCGCCCGCATGGTCCGCCGGTTTCTTTCCCTTTCCCCCTAACCCTCGGCCGTTTGGTCTCCCCTGCCGAGGGCTTCCATCTGGTTGGGCTTTTATTTATTTATGTATTTTCGTATTTATTTTATTTTATTGATATTTTTGTATATTTGTCTTTTCATTTTCGTTTATAATTATATATTTATACATCCCAACCAGATGAGAAAACTATATAGATACCCCACACATAATAATAATAAACATTTACTTCGGACATCATGATCCATATTATAGCTTAGTAACAATTTTAGAGCTTATAACTAATGTTAGTAATTGGCAATTGAAACATAACACATATAACATAAAACAAGGACAAACAGAAAAACCACACAAACAAATATGGCACTCGGCCCCTCCCGCAAGATGACTACTTGACTGCGTGCAGCCGTATCCATCGAACAAGCATCGGCGAGTCCCAACGGTCTGCCAAAACACACAAGATACTGTTGGGGATGTCGCGAATGCGCCTAAGGTGTGAAGCGCAACGTTTACGCATTATGGCGGTGAAACCATCTACGTGAGCCTCCGCAAACATAGCAGAAGCGCTACAGAAACGCGGCAGCCCCATCAATACCCGGAACGCGTTATTGTATTGTACGCGAAGATCACTGTATGCCCTCTGCGTAAAGTTAACCCACAGACTGCACGTATAAAATGACTGACAGTAAGCCTTGAAAAGCGTACTCTTTGCTTCGTCAGTACATTTAGCAAAATCTGTCCGGGGCCCGCGCAACATATTACAGCGGACAGACAGCGACCTCCGCTCCCTCTCAATATCTTGGTTGTCTTTCAGGTCATCTGTGATCCAGTGGCCAAGGTACTTAAAGGTTTCAACTTTTTTCAAAGGGGTTCCACAGAGCTTAAAAAGTGGCACATTAGTGTATCGCTTGTGGTCCGGATTGAACATCATGAATTCGCTCTTAACAGCATTATATTTGAGCCCCTGGGCCACAGCATAAGATTCGCATATAGTTAACATTTTATCTAAGGCTGCACTTGATGGACTCAGCAGCACCATATCATCTGCATAACTTATGTTATTAATACAAACTCCGTCTATGTGGCAACCGATACCGGTACTGCTGAGCTCATCAAGGAGCCTATTCATATATAAGTTAAAGAGCATAGGAGAGCTTAAACCACCTTGCCTCACACCGCATTCTAATCTGTATTCTTCTGAGAGCGAGTCAGCCCATCTGACATTGTTCTTTTGGTTGCTATACCAGTGCTGAAAGAGCAATACAACTTCTTCGGGCAGGCTAGTCTCAGATCTCATCTTATCCCACCAGTCCAGGTAGCAAACAAACACAGGTGTCTTCCTTGCTGTGTAATACTGGACAGTCTGCTTGAGACACAAGATAGCACTCTCGGTAGAAAGACCTGGTCTAAAACCGAATTGAGCATCATTGAGCGCGATGTGCTTATCCAGGAACCCGTTAAGCAAACTGTCCAGTACCTTAGCGATCACAGAAGCAAAGGAGATGGGCCTATAGTTGGACACATCAGAGGCGTCACCAGTCCTGTTTTTTGGAATAGGAATAACAATAGTTCGCATCAATTTGTCAGGAAAATATGAATGCCCAATACACAAATTAAACGACAAGGACAAAACCCTTGGCAAACGAACTCCAGCATGCCGCAGGTGTTCAATGCTGAGGTGGTCATGCCCAGGCTACTTGCCTCTCAACATGCCCTTAATGACTTTAGCTACATCTTTGGCGGTAAAAAATACACTACGCTTCAGACTACCTGCCTCAGCATTAGACACTAGCGGCTCTGCCGGTCCCAGTGGTGATTCCACTCTAAAGTATTCTCTGAACACCTTAGCAATATCACTAGGATCACAAGCTCCCGAAACACTCACGGGAAGGCTCAACTTATGATTCATTTTATTGGTGGCTTTTCAAAACTGACCGAAGTTCTTTCTTTTGTGGTGTTCAGCTATTATGTCCATTTTTATTGTGTCTGATTATTTTGTCACCATTTTAATTTAGCTTTAAAAATGCGTCTTGATTCACACATTTCATTATACGCGTGACCAGAGCCGGGTCTGCCATGTAGTGACCAACTTTGAAAACAACGTCGAGCCCTCCCATGTGCCTCGCGAACGTGTTTGTTCCAACCAGGTAAGTATTTACCTTTTCGCCCCGTCCTAATACTATAACTACAGATAGCGGCCTCCGAAAGTATACACACAATATGTTCATACAATCTGTCAAGCGCTATATTGTGTTGGTGGTTACTACACATACTATCGCAACAATCCGAAAATTCTGCTGGAAAATCTATTAATTTTAACCTGGAGTTACATTCATTGTAATATTCGCCAATTTGATCATTATCACGCTCTCCCTATATGATTTTATTAATACAATTATTTGACTGAGCTAATTTTGGTGTTACAATATTGAAATTACACTCCAACAATACAGGAAAGTGATCGGACCAGTCCATGTCGTAAAGAACACATGCAGAAAGTACAGTAGGCCTCGCCGCAGTAGTGACCACAACATGGTCCAGCCACCTTAAGCTAACATGCGCTTCGCTCACAAAAGTATAGGTATCCGATGGCAACAAGTCTCAGTCTACACACGTCCATAATTGTTCAGAGAAAAATGACAATAGTTCTGTGTCAAAAGTCTCACCAGGGTGCGCGTTGTAGTCCCCTAACATAAACACAGTTTCCACATTATGACTTTCAATAATAGCCGCCATCTCACTAAGACACTCTGTGAATTCCACTAGATTTTCTTTTTTATCTATCGGCATATACACTGAAAAGACTATAAAACAACGATCACTTAGCTCGATTTTAATCGCCGCAAGCCTGACACTTCTACACTT